AAAAAAAAAAAAACAGCTCCCTGGGGTATGCTGAGTCAACCCACATAACCATCTGCGGTCCCCAATCTGTACCAGTAGACAAATGGCCCAGGGTCAAGTCCATTCTGCCCCTTCTGTGTGCTCTTTGTGAAGCAGAGAAAAGGAGCTCTGTCAACAGAAAGGGAGTCACAAGCCCTACTCGGGTGTCAATATTTAAAACCCTCTCCAACATTAGAAGGATAATTTTCTGCTTAAATATCAACAAACCAGAACGTTCAATTACCTAGAAAATCCCCGTTCCTAAAATGTTCAGGGAACCTGAGCTTGCTTGAAAAAACAAAGACGGAGACTCTGCATCCCATGTGATGGCCGTTTGTAGACTGGCCACGGAGCGAGCAGCCACTGAGTAAAGGGAGCCTCGCCGGGGGCTCGGATTTGGGGCAGGCTTGGCCCCCACCTGCAGCTGTCTCTTCCTCGGGGCCTTTCTCCATGGCTCCCGCCTGCCACCTGCCTGGCCTCACGTAGGCTCAGCCACTGTGTCAAGACGTAATTGACTGAGTGCCTCGGACCAGTCCAGGCTCTACCGAGCCCATCAGGGCAGGAACAATGAGGTAGCACCTCAAAGGAGGAAGGCTATTTCTTAGGCTCATGGTTGATGGACCGCACTAGCTGTGATTATCATTTTAATTGCAAGGCCACCACAACCTGATATTCAGGGTGCAGATTTCAAAGACCGCAAAGCACTCTGCAGGCTTAAAAAGCGACCGTGGAACAATCCGTTGCAGACCAGGAGGAGCTCGTTATGATATCTTTCCTTCTTGGACTCCACGCTGCAGTCAGACTCCCCCAGAAAGGACAGATCTGACCCTCTCTTTCAAGGTTTGACTCCGTTCCCAGCGCTTCGGGGACCTTTCCCCAAACTGGTACTTGTTCCCATTCTCTCTCGTGATCCGCCTTCCCGGTCCCACTCCCCCCACCCGGAACCCCTTATAGAACACATTGCTCCTACCTCTGACTTGGCAAAAAAAAAAACCCACAGAATTCTGACATCTCTTCCTGTGGTGTTTTGAGATGAAAATACCTTCACACTCTATCCGACACTCCCAGTGGGATGCTTCGTTCTTAACGGGCAAGAAGCATGTCTCATTCTCCGTAGTGATCCCTACAGTCGCCACACTTCTTTGCACGTTGGCGAGCTTTTGCACACATTGTCCTTTGTGCTTGGCACATTTGTAACTCAAAATATTTCCTCAGTGAAGTCAATCTGGTGAGCTTTCCAGAGTAGAATACTCACAGCTTCTTTTTAATTTTGTAGAGTAAACAATATACTTCATATAAAGCCCTTGTATTCGGAACACAGTAAACGCTTAACACGTGTAATCTATTACCACGGTTCAGAACCCATGATCGTTACCAACCTGGGGTCCGTGGTGGAACATACAACAACCAAAGCCAAGATCTGTCAGCCTTTTCTAATTTTTTTTAAGACAGGTATATTGAGAGATACCAGATACACAGTAAAATCTACTCTGATGAGTGGACAGTTCTCTGAGTTTCGAAAAACGCTTACAGTTGGGGTGCCTAAGTGGCTCAGTCAGTTAAGTGTCCGACTCGTGATCTCGGCTCAGGTTGTGATCTCATAGTTCATGAGTTTAAGCCCCGAGTCAGGTTCTGTGCTGATAGCGTGGAGCCTGCTTGGAGTTCTCTCTACCTCCCTCTCTCTGCCCCTACCCCACTCGTGCTCATTCTCGCTCTCCCTCTCTCTCAAAATAAATAAATAAACTTAACAAAAATTAAACACACACACACAGTTGCCCTACAGCCTTCATAATCAGGATTTCTTTGTCGTGTGGTCTCATGTACAGTTCGTCTAGAATAACCCAGAACTGCTTCTAGAAAAATGCCCTTTGTCCTCATCTTGGCCAGTCTAGGAGCCATTTTCCAAAATGGCTTTGACCTTGGATAGCAGCTCTATTGAGGAAGCAAATCCAGAGTTGGAACAAAGTTTCCCTACAGGGATCAGTCTTGGTGTATGTCTTTTTTTTTTTTTTTAAACTAACTTTTTAATGTTTATTTTGAGAGAGACCGACAGAGAGCGTGCTTAGCAAGGAGCCCGATGCAGGGCTCGATCCCACGACTGTGAGATGATGACCTGGACCTAAGTCAAGAGTCCGACGCTTAACCGACTGAGCCACCCAGGCACCCCAGGGTTGGTGTATTTCTCACAGGCCTGACTTGGTTGCAGGAACATGAGAATGTGGCTGGGTCACAACACGCATTTGGATAACTGAAATTTGGCAGTGGGCAAAGAAGGCCGGTGGGGCACAGTCTTTCTGTGTATACGTGCTCACAATTGAGTCCTGTCCCCATTGCCTCCCCTGTGGATGGACACGTAGAATAGGTGGGAGTGGAAAACAAAAAAAGAATAGGTGGGAGTGTGGGCTGCAGAGCATTGGGCGGCCTGAGGGCAGGGACAATGTCTTATCCTAACTTGTGTCCCCAGCACTTAGCACAGCTTATGTAGGCGTCTGTTGTGTGACCGAGTAAGTGGTCCTAGGTCGTAAAGAGGTGGGCCCATGCCGTCTTGGGCTAGACTTATCCATCAGTCGTATCTGAAGACAGTGGGGAGAAGCCCCCCAGGAGGGCCCTGGCTCCGCTCTCGAGTGGGGCCCTCCCGTCCCTCCCAGGTGACATCAGCAGCCTCCTCGCTTCTGTGCTTGCAGAACTACTTTGAGAGCTACCTGACCGTTGCCTCCACCGTTTCCTCCGTGCTGTGCCTCATGGCGAACTTCCTGCTCGTCAACAGGTAGGCCACTTCCTTTCTCTGCCAGCCCCTGACCCTCACCTCCTTGCGTCTCCACTTGCCTTTCGTTCACAGCGGCTGCTTTTCTGCCGGCTTCAAGGGCAGCGGCCTAAGTAGGAGGCAGGCAGCCCACACTCCTCCGTAACGGTGGAGAAGTCAGATCCGTGACCTCCCGATGGGATGCCCAGCTGGGGAGCTGGTCTTTCACTTCCCAGCCACACGCCGTGGCATGGTGTCAGCAGCCAGCAGGAGGCATGTGGGGACGTGGGTCTTCCTCCTTTCCCTCTCATGGGAGCCTGTCAACAGCTACCTGGGCCGCAGACTTAGCAACCAAAGGACAGCATGTAGATGGCGGCGGGGGGTTGGGAGGGGCTGGGGAACAAGGGAGGCTGGTTTCCCAAGCATTTCTGAGACCCGTGGGAAGTTGAGAGGCTGGCACCCCCCAATCGTGGCTCTCGCTCTGGGGGAATGGGTCACCGGCTCACGTGTTGACCACTCGCAGAGGGTCAGTGGGGAACGTCTGACACTGTGTTAGAGTGGGGGCCGGGAGAGAGCTGTGGAGGAAGGACTGATTTAGGAAGTAGCCAGGCAAGTTAGCATGGCCCTTAGTCCCACTGGGGGACTATTGCCATCCACTGTCATTTAGGTTCACAAGAGCAACAGCCCTAGCTACTCTGCCTATGTTGCCCCTGAGTTACCACCAGAGACCTGGGCTTCTCTGGGCACAGCCTACTGAAACCTTAGCTCACCGATGGCCAATCAGTTTCATTCAGTGCAGCCACATTTATCGTGACTGCCTGGATCTCGGGTGGAACAGGACGCTGAGGCAGGTCCGGCCGCAGGGAGTGTGCTGCGATTGATTGGTGATGTCTGCTCCGCGCATGGGAGGAGAGAGGGCAGCACGTGTGCCTCACGTGTGCTAAGCCTGGATAGACCGGTCTCTCCAAACATAAGCTATGGGGCTGTTCCAATCCCCTGTCATTGCGCTAAAATGACCCCGAAGCACCGTGATTTAAGACCGTAACAGTGGTTAGTATCGCTCAGGATCTGGGAGTCATCAGGCTCAGTTGGGAGCTCTGGCTTTGTGTCTCTCATGTGGTTGCAGACAGCTGGGCTGGAGCTGCTGGGCCTTCGCCGGCCCCTGTCTCCTTCTCCTCT